GTGTGTGTCTGTGTGTGTCTGTGTGTCTGTCTTTGTGTCCATGTGTGTATGTGTGTCTGTGTGTGTCTGTGTGTGTATTTTCAAAGGGGAAATTGCCTTTGGAAGGGGAGATGTCTTATATTCCACAATGCGATGTTCTGCATGATTAATTAACTCTTCAACACAATTTTGCCCCAAAATATGAGCGATCATTGTTCAAGGAGGTCACTGAACCTAGAAGTGAAGGGTAGACTCCCGGCGCTTCTCGGACTTGTCACATGCCAAAGAAAGGCGCGCTTGGCCTTTAATCATTTATTTTTTTGAAGATGTATTTGTGCAGAGAACGGGGCTTCAGGCCAGAGGTGCAGGGGCGGTGAGAGGCTTCACCAGAGACAGAGTGGGGAGCAGAACAGGCAGATCGACGCAGCACACTGCTGAGGGGAGCAGCGGGCGGGTCAGGAGAGGTCTGCCGCGCCATGTAGTCACCTCCGGGGATCGAACTTGTGGTGAAACGGCTGTGGCCCGCTTCATGATGCTGCACGTTAACCTGTTGCGCCAGCCGGGAGGGCCCCTGTCCATTTCTGAACAGGCGGAGGCAACTCTCAAGCCCCCTGCCCCTTTCCCTGGCGTGACTATGACCCCCAGTTCCCGCGGGGAAAGCGCCTTCCCCAATCACGTCTACCCCACGCATCCCCCTTACTCACCTCCCAGCACCCCTGGGCCCCCAGCTCTGCTCCCTCTCGGGGCTCCACCATGAACGCACGCGGACAGCACCGGGCGTGGGGGATCCCGTGCCCAGCCTGAGCACACGCTCACACCCTTTCCCTGTCGACTCTTGGTTGTTCAAACCTGTAAGGGAATGTGGAGAAAATACCGACGGACCAGATCCCCCAAAGCCCGTGGTCTGTTGTTTAAGGTTGTTTCCTAGCATTTATCAGTCGTCACAAAGTATTTATGAGTCGGCAGCTGGCCTTGCACGCTCTGCCCTGGGTTCTAAAGGCGGAGGCGAGAGGGAGACAGAGAGCTTCAGTTCGGGCCGCCGGTGTTGCTGTGGCTGCTGGACT